TCAGATATTCTATACACGCTTCCGATGCAAGAATACAGGATGTAAGATACACGAATGAGCACTGAAAGTGCAGGTCGTCCCTTGCTCCTTCCAGCCTGTTATGGCCCTGAGATTACGGCAATCCTCCCCGAGCAGTCTTGACTAACGCCGTTGTATTAAGACCTCTTTGAGGTTCAATGATATGAGGCCCATTTTTGCAAGTGTTCTTGTCATGTGGGAACCCCCGAGTAGCTAGATAGGTTCTGACGTGGGTAGTGGATAGCTAATCAGGCTATCACAGAGTGGGCAAGGGCTTATTGATTGAAGGCGGCTTCGAATTGGCACCCGTTTTCTTCCCCGTCACTCGAATGTAAGCACTTGGCTGAGCCGATGTATAGGATATAAACTGCACCCGCAGAATCTCCCCACACGTACGCATAGAGACATTTGCGAGGATGGTGAAGGTATAAACCAACTCAACGCAGCGGACGGATGGGGTCCAACCCTTGAACCCAGAGGCTTTACTTGGCAATGACCGCTGACCTTTAGTCGCTATTTACTCCTCCATCGCGACCTAAGGTCTCGCCACATGGTCCCTTCACGAAACGGCTAGAGATCCTTATTTAAAAGGCGCTCTCAGCAATGGAGATCCTTTGCTGATATACAGCTATGCCCTGTAATATATGATTCGCTTTAGCGTCTCGACAAGCATTTTATCCTTCGCCCTTGATTTCGCTTGCAACCTTGTACTGATGACAATTCCAAGCGAAAATATTTTGCTGTGCTCAATAAGCACGTGATCCATGCATGCCTCCTTTACTCATGAATGCCGTCTTTTGTGTTCAGTTTATAAAGTCGACACCAGTGTTATTCCTCAATCGATGGTAGCACTCTCTAATCACTAGTCTTGCCAATAACATCGTAGTGTCAAATGGGTGCTGAAGTGGGGGATTGGCATGATATCAAGCTATCACTACAACTTCATCAACAAAATTTTTCCCAGACATTACACATGGGAAGGTTAGGGGCGTTAAACAAAATCACCCTCATAAATTGTACCTGCAAAGTCTCGTGCTTTTTGATAGTGCATTCACTTGACCACTCGAATACAATGAATAGGTTTTCTGTTGTGGACAGCGTTGAGAAAAAAAAAACAATTTGGCTGTAATGCTGCTTCTTGAAACAGTTGGTCCTTGGGATGGAAACAGTTTTGGTAAGTGGAATATCAGTTGGTACCAGACTCGTCTGGGAGTAGAAAAGGTTGACTGATGTATCGGCTGGCCTCCCTAGTCATTGTATCGGCCTGATTCGCACTTGATTTTACGATTCTTAGTAGAAGTGGAAAGCGGGAGCGCATTCCAAAATGAAAAAAAAACTTCATCCTTTATTAGTAAAAGAACATCTGTACAAGACTCTTTGAGTCCAAATAAGCTATACTAATAGGTTTTGCACAATAAAGACGGATTCAAAACCCGATAAATGAATCCGTAAAGGCAGTATAAACAATGCAAGAAATCAACGGAACAATGTTTCCTGGTCTAACTCGTCCACTTCCGATAATGGTGATGTTTCTGTGGTTTCTTTGTCCGAAACTGAACATTCATCACTTTGTGAACTGCTTCTACTGCTGCGATACAGGCGTGAATTGAGGTACGAGGAGTCGTAACTGCCAAAAGGTGCAACGCAGTATTTGTCTCCGTTCTGAAAGTAGATTGTTATGAATAGGAAAAGTTTATCGCCTACATTTAGCCTTTGAGACTTGCATTTTGGAAAAATTTAAACTTTCTTCAGAGGAAGTTGCTCCCGTGTACCCAGTACCCTTCACATTTCTACCATTTACTCTGGTTTTGAACAGATACCACTAAGTATTCAACCGTCTTGTTCCCAGACCCTTGGTGGTAGCAATCTCTCAAGCGGGTAAGCCAGTATGAAGGTTATTGTCGAGGAAGCGAAGGAAACAACTGATTTAGAAGTAGAGCGGAGACTTAGGAAGCCCTATAGTGGCCCGTCAATTTCTGGAATCGCGGGAGATCTCGAATAATTTACTTTACCGACTTCTCAAACATCAAATTGAGCTTTGCTTGTGAAGAGAGCTTTATCAGGGAGCTAGCCTTCTGAGTGCTGTGAATAACTGTTCAAGCGCCGAACCACTAAGTCTAAGATCGCTTATAGATTTACAGGCCAGGTCAGACCATCCAGTTGGAACTAAGCATATGATTCCATTTTTCGAAGTAATCGGATAGGACTTCTACTGCGATGCACCTACCTCCATCATCTTCAGTCGTTGGGCAAGCTTTTCACCGAAGCGTTCTCGATATCCTGGCGATATTGCATCCATGAGTTCGTATGGTGAATCGTAGTATTTGGTGAAAAGCTCGATTCGGGTGAAATCGCCAATCATGCAGTCGGTTCGCAGGGATGTTATGCGCCAACCTTTGTGCGTCAGCTCCAGGCAGTATGGCTGTCCTGGAATAATGGTCTCTTTTTCTCTTCGAAGAAACGCTATCATCCCGTCGAGGGGAACGAATACTCGCTGCTAATCAGGGTACTCGCTTCTTCTCTTGGGGATCGATTTCTTACGATGCATTCCACTGAAGGGCGAAAATATCCATACAATTATCAACTGTTATCGGAGCCCCTTTTGGTAAAGTCAATTAAGCGGACGACAAACCTTCCATGGTAGTGAGATTGACAAAAATCATATCCGACGTTCTCGGCAACATCTCGGAAACGCTCATCGATTGCACAGCATAGGAGAGCTCGTGTACAGCAGCTAAATCGATCGATATTCTGTAGGTACTTTAGTCCGAACGAAATTAAGGAACGAACCAATCGCTTCGAGTTCCAATGAGGATGTTCCATGAGGTCCTCCCAGATCAATTGTAGAACCAATAGCAGAGCCATTACGAGGAGTGCCAGCCAGTGAACGATTAATCGTCGACATTTTTTGTAGAGAAATTGATATGGAGCTGAAATAATCAGAAGTAAAGTCGCTCAGGGAATGGTTGACTTTCCCTTATCAGTTGAGGCGGAGTTTTTGAGTGTTTATTACATAACAATTGGTAGTTGCATGTGATTTCCACATTATTTCGTCCTTAAACCAGCGGCTACGTCGGATGATCCCGTGAGCAGTTTAATGTTTGCAATCTACCGAAGAATGGGAATGATTAATTATGTGGTGTTCCTGAGATGACACCCATCAGGGAATGGGAGAAGGAATCCGATGGTACGGGTAAAAACAATTCATATTACAGTTAGCAGAATTATTTGTCTGAAATCACGGGAACCAAAATCTGTTCCTACATTCATGCCAAAGACGTTTTCCACAACAACTCCTTCCTGATTTGAAGAACTTCACTAAAAATTTATGCACAGAGCGTTTAATGGCTTTACTGTCGGATCTCTAGGGTTTTTTTTTTTACAAATTCAGACCCCTTGCTCTATCAAGTTTCAGAATGACGATGTGATACCCTGGAAACAAGTTGAAAGACTTTTTAACGGAAAATGATCCCTAACTCTCTTTTCAGCTACATACGACACCTCTTCCTCTTCAAAAGGGCGTATGAGGCTCTTGGGGTCATATCGACTGCCACCAATTCTCCCAAACTGCCTTAGTTTGTATTTCAGCTCTCGTTTCATTGCTAATGAGCCTGATAGAGGAGGCAACTCAGATCGTTCAACTTGCACAATCTCGGAAAAACCGTATTGTTTTCGAAATTCTTGCACAAATCCGATTTAGCCTTGGCTGTTCTTTCTATTACATATTTAATGAGTTAACGCGAGGGACTTAATATGAAGCTATTAGGTGCGTGCATTAATTTCCGCCCCCTAATTCAGGGATCGTTGAGCGATCCATTTCAGAGGTTTACCTGTGAAGTTTCCCATATTCTGTGAAATAGGATATTCTATCTATTTAAGGGCAGACAGATCATTTTTCCCCAAGATCCCGTTGCTCTCAGACTGTTTGGTCATGGAACGTGATAAACCCTTTCCCCGGGAAGCCCTTCTCCTGCTGTTTGATTTCAAGAAAACTGACAGTGAAGTCCACCGGATGCTTCTCGATGCTTATGGAGAACGAGCTCCATGTGAAGGAATCTGCAGCTCTCACCAAAAGCGGCCGTTAATCTCAAGAAAACATCATAAAGTGCTGTTCTACCACGACAATGCCAGACCCCACGTTGCAAAGAGTGTCCTTAAAAAAACTACACATCTTGGATGGGATCAGCTTGTTCAGCCCACATGCTCCCCGGATCTTGCCCCTTCTGATTACCACTTATTTCGGTCCATGCAAGTCTGTTTGGCAGATACACGCTTCCGGAATGCCGAAGAAGTACGGAAATGGGTGGATGACTGGATTGCTCAAAAGATGGAGACTTTTTTAAACGCGGAATCAACAAGCTCACCTTAAAGATGGCAAGAAGTTGTAGCTAACGATGGACAAGACATTGGTTGAAGTTAATTTTGTTTTAATTTCGTAATAAGTATGTTTTTGCATGCAAAAAACGGCGGAAATTAATGCACACACCCACTACATAATTGGTAGACAGTAGCGGCACAAACATTGGAAAGTCAGTATTAAACTCAGCCAAGAAATTTTCACTGTGTCACTGCCCACCCTCACGAAATGGTCAAATGTCAAGCTATTCTTAACACTTCTCACTCAGATTACTTCTTTTTTTTCAGTCGTTATGGATTTATCTTCAAAACTTGACTAAAAATTCAGTTTTTTTTAAATTTCCTGTTTTATCTTGAACAATGGTGCATTCTTAATCTTGTTTCTGCTTTGCCCACATCTTTCAATAAGTTTATCAACAATTCTTGGAATATAAAAGATTACATCAATGAACGCCGCGTAGGCAAAATTTCATAAAATGCCACTTCACTTAAGTTGTGTATTGATAATTGGACATTAAAATTTGCCGAGAGGTATGTTTGCTTCAAATTCCTGGACACATGGAAAGCTTGAGAATGTGTCGCTAGCTGTTCAGGAAGTTGAATTCATTGGTGGGGCAATTAGTGGGGCTTTGGGGAATTGAGAATTGAAGGGCGGTACCCTCAGGTTGATAAGAAGGCCGGTGAAACTACAAACAACGTTAAGAACAACGGTCACTAAGATCAGCGCGCTGTACCCCAAGAAATCAGGGTGGAAGTAAGAAATGGCCAGACCAGGTAGAATGAGCAATGCTGACACTTCAATATTAATTACGAAAAATTAATTGCTGTGAATCATTCTTATTCAGCCTGCAGAGGTTGCGCATGATTCAGGGTGGAACAGGAAACGGTAATCTACAGTTTGACAAGAATGTACATCGGTGCAGCTAATTTTCATAGCAAATATTTATTATTACATCACTAGTAATTTAGGATACTTTTATGGTAACTTTCTTTGCAAACTTTCATGTCTCAACCAAAGTCAATACCAAAACAAAGGGAATATGTGCTAATTTATGTTGCTTATGGTGGATCCAACGATCGTTCATGCTTCATGAAGCTTTTCAGAATTTTTGAAGACTTGAAAATCAACGTTGTTCTCATTAAATGATTGTTTCAAAAGATCGAAAGTAAAACGAAGCAGTTTCGAGAAAGAACAAATCCAAAGTTAGTGATAAGAAGTTAAGAGTGCTTACTTCCGAGGCGATGCTGTGCTGCCACATCGGAGACACGTCGATGAATATTGGTCCTGATGATTGAACGGCTGGTTTCCGTTTTGAATATACAAGGACGCGCTTTGTGTTCTCTGCTTCATGACTTCCATAGAATGGACGACGGAGGAAAAGTCTTGAGTAGATAGGAGTTGTTTCAGATCAGTGCTGGTTGTGCTCACAAACGTTAACGACTGATCGCGCAGTAGCCGCTTTTATAGAGGTGGTCGGCGGCGACCTGAACGGGGGGCGTGTCGCGTCCAAACATTCCAAAAATAGAAAACCAATGTGAATGATAACGAGTTTATGGTATACAAGCGGTAGGAAAAGCGCAGAAAGAACGATCGCACCGTAAAGGCAAGAAACAGCCGGGATGATTGAGTGGCGGCATGACATCATTCATAAGTAAGTTGTTTTTTGTTTGTGAAAGCTGTTACTATATGTACGAGTCAAAGGAATGTTGAAGTGGCTATCGTCATCGTGGGTGGGCCGTAGTGCCCGGTGCCAGGATGCACTCTGGGAAATAAAACAGCTGAAAACCACACTGAACAGCTCTCAAAGCGATCTTCTCAAACACTTGCCTACGGAGTCTGTCAACAATCCAAGTGAAGAGCACGTGAAATTTCTGTTCATAGCGCTGTAACAGTAATGAAGGGCTCCTTGGTTCGTATTTCAGCCCTGACAGGGGCTGGGACTTTTCTGATTTTCACCTTTTGATCTTCGGACTGGCTCAGTGGAATAGGACCCTGTTACAAACCGCCTGGCTGTTGGAGCATTATGACTTCTGGGCTCGATCAGAGTCATTAATTACAAGGAAAAGCGATCGGCCCTGATCAATTCATGACTGGGTGGGCTACCAATTCATTACTGGGTGGTTAGACATCCGATTTGAACGCTTACACGGCTCGGCCGACTTTTTGCTTCCAATTAGATAACATATTGTAGAGTCGATCCGAGTAAAGGCCAGTGCTTCTGTTGTGCCCCATACAGGCTGAGTCCTTTCCAGCTATAGGTGAACAGGCGAAGTGTTAAGAAAAAACTTCTTGTGTTATTTGAGAATGATTCAGTGGACTGTGCTGATGCCGACAAAGCCAACAACTTCATACGAACTGCTTTTTAACAAATTTAGACGGTAAACCCACCCGGTAAACACTTCATTTGTTCACCTTCTAGCACATTCTGTCATAATCGCGGAGGGAGGTGCTACTAAGATAATGATCTGATCATGGGAGAGAGAATGCGGCTCCGACATATCCTCGTGACCACTGGGGACGAGACGAGGTATCTTTGATTCTCTCCAGCAGTCACCCAGCGAACATTCTAGCAAGATGATCCAGTTTCGCTAATAACTCTTGCCATCTCGGCCCATCTCCAAACTGTGGTCGTAGGGGCAGCATAACCGAAGATAGCAGAAAGCAAAAGTCATAGAGAGGAGAAGATAGAATGTACTTTCGATTCATTTTTTCGTTTGTTGTTTGTTTTTGTCTGCTAAGTACTTCTTCAAGATAATCTACTACAAAGGCTATAAACACCGATTGCTGTTCTGAATTGTTAGCAGAGTATACTAGACAACAATAGCCCCTGCCAAAAATGGCGTCATTCCAATTATACATCATTCCATACGTCATCCCAGATGTACTCACTGCTGACTATAACCTAGTTGTTGAGCGTGAGAGAAAGACGAGATTTTTAACCAACTATTCGAAAGTACGGGAAAGTTTATCCAGACTTATACAATTCGTCGTTTTTATCACTGAAGAAAGTCGAAAATTCGGTTTTGGCAGCTGGTCTTATAGCTGCTGCGTAGATCAGCTGCGGAGGAGGAAGTATCCTAATCAACAAAAACATGAGCTCAAGCAATTGAACGTCATCATCATGACACAATATCAAACAGTTGTTGGGCTTCTTTGCATTTTCTCCTGCAAAACATATCAAATCGGGATAAAGGAAGCATCAAATCCACCGCGTTCTATTAGACTGGAACCTATGGCTCCTTTGGGTTTGATCTACATTTCACCAAACAGCTCGTCTAGCATTTGAACATAAAATCGATATGAGGAATTCGGCGAGAACCTTCCAGAATTAATCACAGAATCAAAATATTCGACAAAAAATTGCTTTTTCCGAGCTTTTTGATGTGATAGGGACGCGCGTTAGAGCCTCCTCAGAATCATCCAACACTACTTTTCGGTACTTTCAGACACTTTTTGGATGTACTCCCGGTACTTTCAGATACCGTGCGGATGTAATGACAGACTTTTTTCCCTTTCGATGTCCTGCATAGAAATGAAGCTAATCTGAA